CCACAAAAAAACCCCCCCCCCCCCCCCCCCCCAAAAAAAAAAAAAAAAAAAAACCCAAAAATCAAAAAACAAAAACGAAAAAAGAAACCAATGCAACTTAATAAAGTTACAATCAAGTTGAAAGTTTGAAACCATGGGACATAACAGAGAAATAACTAATCAAGACAGGAAAAAAAAACACGACTCAACTACAAGTATAAGGTTTTCACTACTGGCATTCAATCTTTACAGAACTAACAAACACCATTTGATCCAAGCAAAGAAAGTAAAGCAAAAAAGCCCCGGCAAATGCTTACCTAAGTCGAAAATTTCAATCCTTCAACATGAAAAGACGTTCAAACTCCAATAATTGAATCTCTGCAATATCGCCAAACCCTTGGATTTGACAATAAACAAAAATGGAGCGAACGAGAGATATAGGTAGTGTTCGTGAGAGAGAATAAATAGAAAGGGGAGTGGAGGTTCCATGGCAGTGAAGAAGAAGAGTCCATGAAGAAGAAGACAAATGCAGAAATCTTTGGGACGAATCGCCAGCTTGTGTTGAAGANTAGCAGTGAAGAAGAAGAAGACAAATGCAGAAATCTTTGGGACGAATCGCCAGCTTGTGTTGAAGAGCGTTACAAACTGGGAATTTTAAATGTTTGTTAGTTGCCGCCATTCGACGAAAGCCTTTGGATACAACGAACCCTTGTCGTACTATGCAGTGCGTTTCCGTACCGAGCATTTGGTATCGTGTTTAAATGACAAAACTGCCCTTCTAATTTTGTGGTGTGATGATAAAAACTTCAACTCGGGTCACTATCTGTTTCACCTCGGGTCACATATTGGTAGATCCATTGATGGCAAATGAGTTTGAGTCTGAATCTGATCAACTTGCTTTTTAAAAAAGACTAAAAATTTGTTCAAACTCAACTCCTCGTATTCTTAATGAATGAGTCCAATTCAAATAACTCGACTATTTTACATATAAACGAACAGAATTTTGTAATCTCGAACCGAGATTATAAAATTCATTTTCTAAATGAATCAAAATAATTGTTTGAGCTTGAAGGGACTCAAATTCGAATCAAGCTCGAGTAATTCGGATTATTTACCAACCCCTANAGTGATGGCAAATGAGTTTGAGTCTGAATCTGATCAACTTGCTTTTTAAAAAAGACTAAAAATTTGTTCAAACTCAACTCCTCATATTCTTAATGAATGAGTCCAATTCAAATAACTCGACTATTTTACATATAAACGAGCAGAATTTTGTAATCTCGAACCGAGATTATAAAATTCATTTTCTAAATGAATCAAAATAATTGTTTGAGCTCGAAGGGACTCAAATTCGAATCAAGCTCGAGTAATTCGGATTATTTACCAACCCCTATGCGGATCGACTCATTAAGTTTCCATTGAAATAAGATCTACAAAAGAAAAAAAACATGAGATGTGTATTCACCCATCAAGTTTTCATTGAAATATGAGCTACACGGTAAAAAAAACACTTGTTATTTGTTCTTTTTTCGTTTTATATCATGTATAAATTGCATTTAATGAATTAATATTGTATTTTTTTAAGATTATGTTGACTTATTTATTTAATGGNGAGATGTGTATTCACCCATCAAGTTTTCATTGAAATATGAGCTACACGGTCAAAAAAAACACTTGTTATTTGTTCTTTTTTCGTTTTATATCATGTATAAATTGCATTTAATGAATTAATATTGTATTTTTTTAAGATTATGTTGACTTATTTATTTAATGGATGTAATTATTTTATCACCTAAAACCACTGAAATTCACTAATTACACCCTATCTATTTTATCACCTGAAAATTGTGGATTTGGGAAACATGATCCAAGAAGCTGTCTATTGGATGTAAAAGTGACCATAATACCCTCGTAAGTGATAAGAATGGAACATTAGCTTGATTGGCAGCTGACGAGCTTACCTCTCGTTCTATAATTGTTGATAGTTGGTCTGTCGGTCGATAAGTAAAATCTGTTGGTGTTTATGAAAATGCTAAGACTAATTTCAGAAAAAACTAGCTCTCATGTGTTTCAATAATGCTCTGTTTAGTATAATAAAAAAATAGAAGGATAGAAAGTTAGAGGGATAAATAAAACATCATGTTTGGTAAGGAAAGATGNAACTAGCTCTCATGTGTTACAATAATGCTCTGTTTAGTATAATAAAAAAATAGAAGAATAGAAAGTTAGATGAATAAATAAAACATCATGTTTGGTAAGGAAAGATAGAAAAGTTGATGAATTAACTTTCCTTCCAATCCCTTCAAAATCGGAAGGAAAGAGGATAGAAAGTTAATTATTTGTGTTAATATGTATCTTATTTGTCTATATATTATGTATATATTAATTTTATATAAAAATAAAAATGATAAAATATGTATATATATATATATTAAATAAATTTAAAAATTAAAGTTAAAATTTAAATTAAAAAATATTTTTTTCATTTTAACTAAGGGTGACAATTTTCGACTCAACACAATAACATGATTCGAACTCGACACGAATTTTAAAATGACCTGGTACACGAATAAGAAATGTAAAAGGCTCATAATTTTATGACTCAACACAAATCTAATCTGACACGACATGACCCGATTGTCACCCATAATCTTAGTCAACACAAAAAAAAAAAAATTTTAAAAAATTTAGTCATTTTTATTTTCTATCCATCCAAATAAATACAAAGGAAAAAAAGTATATCATTCTTATTTTTCATCATTGAAAGATAAAAAATATATCCCTTATATATTTTATCCTTTTTATTTTCAATCCTTCCTGCCTATCAAACAGAGCATAACAAACAAACAAACAAAATAAAAAATAAAAAAATCATGGTTCTACGAAGATTGTAAACCCTTTTTTTTTAATGTAAATTATATTATGACCAATTTAAGCTTTAAGAGGGTGTTTGGATGCCCAGAATAGGTTTGATAGTTTTAAGATCTTTTTATCCAACCCAAGATTCCAATCATTTGCATTGACCTGGATTTGTTCGTTATTCTCGTCCAAGCCTTTGTTTGGTTGCCAAATTACAATTTCATGAGGCCCACGTGTTATACCACCTTACTATTTTTCAATGATATTCTGTCGGATACCCTTCTTAACCCACCACATAGATCAGTTATAGAAAATTCATGTNTCATATCACCTTACTATTTTTCAATGATATTCTGTCGGATACCCTTCTTAACCCACCACATAGATCAGTTATAGAAAATTCATGTAAATAGGCTAAGTGTTATTTATTTCGTTCTTAAACATCTGTCATTTAACATTTTTGTATAAAAATTAAAGAAGTTATTAAATAGCTCTAATATGAGTAAAAAATAATTACACAAAACTAAAATACACTTATTCAATACGTATTGGGAAAAAAAAAATATGAAAGACACTTAACCTCCACCTAATCTAATGTATTAAAAAGTTAAGGATAAATTTAAAAAAAAAATATTAATTATATTTTTGTTTCATTAAACGACAGATATAATAGAACAAAAAAATTGTGTAAAACGACAAAAATTTAAGAACAGAGAGAATATTATTTAACTCGGGTCGAAATAAAATCCGGGTGAAATTATATTGAACTACCCAAACACGAGATATCTGTATCCCACATACTTTTTTTTTTTAATCCATATACGACAATTCATACACCCAATGTTGTTTATATATAAACAAAAATTCATCACAAGAGTTTCTTGGCATTGTAAAGTCTATTGAATTGTCAGATATGCGAAGTCATCGAGGTGTGGACTTATACCTCGAACAAGTGACTTCCCAAATTAGAAACTTTTTGTTGTGATCATAAACTACAAGCAAATCAATTTAACCTCCAGGCATGTCCTCGGTTACAGCACAAGGCATGTCTTTTTTTATAAACGATGATAACAAAGAGCATCCGTTAATTCATAATAAACTCTACGGGGCTTCCGACCAAAAAACAAAAATTCTAAAGAGCTGTTTGATAAGAGAGTACGGGGCTTCACGAGATGAATTTGGAGAAGATAGTCTAAAGAACCCTCAAACTTTATGTTTAGATTGAAAATTTAATTTTGAGTTCCTAAATTCGACCCGTAACTGACCTGAATATTAAATTCATGATCATTGATTTTGTCAAACCTAAAGGGGGGGTTTTGAAAAGATGGGTTAAGGATATAAAAAATAATTGTACCCTTTAACATGAGTATGAATTTGATTGATCAAAGGTAAAATAGTTATTTACAAGATAAATAGTTATTAATAATTATGATATATCTACAATTCTTATTTGTATATATGTTACATATCAAACTTGGATATGAACCGGATTCAATATTAAATCTCATCTGTGTAAAGAGGAGTTTAGGTTTAGAAAGATTTAAGAAAGCCAATTCAAACACTTTCCAAAAATCTATCCAAACAAACCCTAAGGGCTTGTTTGTTTGTTGGCTTTGGGGGATTTAAGAAAAATAGTTTGATAGATCCCGTAATCTTGTGTTTGGTTAGCACTCTTAAACCCAGTATTTATACCTCAGCTCGTAAATGACATAGTGTATTAAACCCACAAACATGAAGCATGACAAAATCAAGGAGGGTGGATTTCATATATCCTAGCCTAGATTAAATACG